GGCAGAGGGCGCTCTGACGCTGCTGACTCACCGCAGCATCCAGCGCTACGCTCGGGCGCAGCCCGGGACGCCGCGTCGCGTCACGTCACGGCTCGGGAGGGCGCGTCTCGGGAAACGGGCCGGGGCCGAGGGAATTGGGAGGAGGGCACCAGAACGCGAGGTAGTACCGGTTCGAGAGGGGTACACCAGACTGCGGCCACGTCACCGAGGTGACAGGCCTACTCCCTGGCCACGCCCAGTTCTCCGCACCCACCCAGGAAGGGGCAGGACAGGGGACTGGCGGGTCCCGGCGGGCCGCTGGGCCTGGGAACCCTGCCACGAGGCGCGGGGTTCAGGCTCCCGCTCCCGCTTCCGCTGGCGGCTGCTTCCCGGACGGACGCTGTGGGGCGGCCCCACAATTTCCTGCCCCTCCCGGCGCCGGGAACAATGGCCCTCGCCCCCTCCCCACGCCCTGGCGGCTCCCGCGAGGACCAGTGGGGGAGGAAGCCTAAACCCGGGCCCGAGCCCGCGCCCCTCGGGCCCGCCCGCCCTTTGTTGCGGACTCCGGGCCTTATGAATGGCTGGGGGCGCAGGCGGGGGCGCGGGGGCGGAACCGGAGCGGTGCCAGCCCCACCCCCGCCGCGCTCCCATTGGTTGCCCAGGCAGCGGGGGCAGGGCGAAGGGTTGGGCGTACTGCCACGTGGGGCAGCGCCGCGGCGGTTCCCATTGGCTAAGGAGCGCGGCCGACTGGGCGTTCGGTGCGTGCTGATTGGTCGGCACGGGGCCGGCGGAGTAAGTAGTGAATGGGAGGGGGCGGCAGCCCCGCCCCTTGAAACGTTGATACATTATAACTTTTTTTTTCTTGTTACTTTCACCCCCAGATCCTGTGAGCCGCGGCTGCGGCGGCTGTTGCTAAGGGAGGGGACGCTTGAGGTAGCGCGACCCGAACTGCAGAGGCATAGAGCGCACACGGCCAAGGAGCCCCCTCCTCCAGGACCCTCCCCGCGCCGCGTCCCGGCCGCCCCCCATCCCTTCTCACTCTTGAAGAAGCCTCTATCGCAGACCCCAACCCGGAGCGCGCCCCGAAAAGCCGACGCGATCGACCCCGGAACGCCTCTCGGATTCTTTATTGCTGATCAGCCTTCCACCACTGGGATCTTCAGGGTCACGCGTGCCGCCCCCTCCTCCAGCCCCCAGCGCCGAGAGAAAGGAACACGAATCCGGGGAGTTCCCGCCCCGGCCCTGTGGACGCGGCGAGGATTGGCGGCACCCCGCGGACCCCAGCCCCCCCAGCGCGCGCCGGGGATGGAGCCGCAGCCCGGCGGCGCCCGGAGCTGCCGGCGCGGTGCCCCCGGCGGCGCCTGCGAGCTGGGCCCTGCGGCCGAGGCGGCGCCCATGAGCCTGGCCATCCACAGCACGACCGGGACCCGTTACGACTTGTCGGTGCCGCCGGACGAGACAGTGGAAGGGCTGCGCAAACGGCTGTCCCAGCGACTCAAAGTGCCCAAGGAGCGCTTGGCGCTGCTCCACAAAGACACGTAGGTACCGCGCGCCGCCCCCGCCCGTGCGCCCCCGGCGCCGGGCCGCCCCCTCGGGCTCGGGCCCCCGGGCGGGAACAAAGAGCGCGCCGCGCAAGGAAGCAGGGGGCGGCCAGACTGGAGGGGGGGCGCTGCGCGCTCTCGGGCGCCCTCTGCTCGGCCTCGACTGCCTCGGCCTCCTCCCTCGCCGGGGGTCGCCGCACAAAAGCCGAGGCGAGAGTGCCCAGAGGGGTTTCCTTGCCTCCCCTCGGTGGAAGCAGGCGTCCTGGGGCAACACGGAGGTCTCAGCTACGGGAGTGGGAGCCACAGCCATTCTCTCTTTCGCTTGTGTCCTCACCAGCTTCCGTATCTGCTCAGCTGCCCCCTCTGCGTCTGGCTGTCTCCCCCACCTTGTGTCTCTGCCCCCCTTTGTTCTCGACTCTCAGCGCTCCCTGCAGCCTCCCCCTCCCTCCTGGTATTTAAATCGTCTCCAGGCCCGGCAGTCCCCCCCCCCCCACCGCGGGCCTCCGGGGACAGGCAATGTCCATCCCCAGCGGAGGGGCCCCGGTGGGGGAGGGGCGGGAGGAGGAGGGTCTCCTTTGTCTGAGCGGCGGCGGCCTGCGCCAGGGAGGGGATGGAGGGGTAGCCTCGCCCCAAGCAGCCCCCCAAGGCTTCACCCAGAGCTGAAGGCCCTCGGTTCCTATAAAGAGAGGCCTGGACAAGAGTTAGTGAATCCTAGGCAGGGGTTGCCCTGAGGGGTGCGGAGGATTGTGGCAAAGGGCATATGAGTGCCCAGTTGATGCGAAAGTGCCTTGTTGAGCAGCAGAAGGGGTGCCCCAGTCGGAAGATGGGGATCGTGGGAGATCTGAGCTTCCAGGATGGGAGCTCCCAAGGCCAAGGAATCTCCCCACACGCGCCACCGGGATCTGGAAGCTGGGAACGGGTGGAGGCAGAAAGGACTCCTGTCTCTCATTCCCCTCCCCCCCCTCCCTGCGGCACACACACAGCCCTCCTCCCCCGCGGCCGCTGCTTCCGCGTCCCAGTGTTGTCTCTGCCGTCTCACCGTCTTCCTTCCTCCCCGCAGCCGGCTCAGTTCGGGGAAGCTGCAGGAGTTTGGCGTGGGGGATGGCAGCAAGCTGACTTTGGTGCCCACCGTGGAAGCGGGCCTCATGGTAAATGGCTGTGGGCGGTGTGTCCTGGAGGCCCTACAGACCTCAGACCCTGCTCCCACACACACAGACGGTGGTGGGCTGTTCACCATCACTGCCAGTGCACAGCCTCCTCCCCTGTAGGGCAGTCCACCCCAGCCTGCAGGGCCCTCCCCACCCCTGCTCAAACCCACTGTGCCAAACCCACACTTAGGCGGGGTCCTCCTTCCTCTCTTTGTAGTCCCAGGCCTCAAGGCCGGAGCAGTCTGTCATGCAAGCCCTAGAGAGCCTCACCGAGACCCAGGTAAGACCTGCGCCAGCCCCTTCCTAATCTGCAGGCAGGCCATCCCAGAGAGCCTGGGTTGTCTGTGCTCCCCAGAGGCCTGTGGGGGTGGGGAGGGACGCCTGCCTGGTGCCAGCTTGGCCTGGTCACCTTGCTTCCTCTTCCTGCCCCCCACTCGCCACCTGACCTTGAGGTTCTCTCCCACGGTGGCTGCCATGAGGGGGAAGGGGCTGAGTTTCTCTGAGCCTGTCTGCCTGAGGGATGACCTTGGCCCAGAGCTCGGAGCTCACTCAGGGCCTGTCTCCAGCCTAGCATTAGGTCCCTCCCCTTCCAGAGACCCAGTCCCCAAGCCAGTGAGGCTTTCCCAAAGGGATGGGCCAGTTTCTTTTTTTAACATTTCTGCTGTGGTGCAGAGTGGTGGCCAGCCAGGGTGACACTCCTTCCGCTTTCCTGACCCCCATTGCAAGGGGGTGGGGAGTCACCACAGCACCCCCCCTTCCTCTCTCTGGCCTTTGTTCTCTGCCCCAAGGGGGGGGGCCAGGGGCAGGCAGCCCGGGGCCAGGGAGGCCTCCACAGGATGTTGGGAAACGGTTAGTTTAGTAGGCAGCCAGGAGGTGGGCTGGGGCGGCCTGGGTCTGGCTCCAGGTCTTGCCCAGGCCTTTTCCCCCTCCTCCTATCCTCATTTTCTTGGCTGAGGCTGGGCACTCCCCAGAAAAGGGCCCTGGCCACCTCCCAGCAGGGTGACACAGGCCTCAGCAAGCTGCCAGGGTGGGGGAGCAGGCTACTGCCCGCCCCAGCAAGGGGGTGGGCAGGCTCCCAGGCCTCCCCGTCTGGCCACAGGAAACCTGCTCGGCGGCTTTGGTCTTCCCTCCTGCTGCCCCAAGGCCCTCGCCCCCTTCTTGACACGTAGCATCCTGCCTTTCAAGCAGCACAGAGGAGGGGGGCTGAGGGGCTAGGAGCTGCTGGTGGTCTGCCATCATGGGGGTGGCTGTGGGATGGGTGTCACAGGGGTCCAGGGGCTGGGGGCCGGGGTGGAGGCTGCAGGTGATTTCCTGGGGCAAGTGTGAACTGCTCCCTGCTACCTGATGGGGGCTGCGGTTGGTTGGGTTGGCAGGGGGGCCGGGCAGGATTGGTTCACATCCTCCCTGGGTGCCTGCGTCAGGAGGGAGATGGGGGGGGCACTGGGCGAGTGACTGGGCTCCCCGGGCTGCTTCCCTGCCTGGCACCAAATCATGCCCGCCCATTCGCCCTCCCCAGGGAGGAAGTTGCTGGGCGGGCAGAGCTAGGGGGCTCCAGCTGCTCTGGGAAGCCACCCCAGGGCCCTGCCTGCCAGGGGTCTTGAGCAGAGGGTGCTGTGCAGACTGGTCAGGGTGGGGCTGTGCCCTGCCTCCTCTCCCCCTCCTCAGCCCCCAGCAGAGAGGATTGCGCCAGCCAGCCACTGCCAGAAGAGCAGGGAGGGAGTTCTGGGAGGCGGTCGGCTCTGAGTCATCCAGTCTATGTCACTTCTCAGAAACCTCCGCCCCCCCATCCCTGTCCCTGGGGAGAACAAGGCGCTGGGCCAGGCCCCAGAAGGGGGTTTGTTGTAGATAGGGTTAGATATACTTACTCATGAATCCACCCGCCACAGAGGGGCAGGTCTGAGGGTTCCTGGTCACCAGGGTGTGTTGAGGGCCCTGGGGACATAGGCTCTGGGGACCTCTTTGGGCCCCCTTGGCCTCCACCCCGCCCAGGACAGATAAATATTTATCTTGAGAAAGCAAAGGTTAGGAGGAAGGATTGTCCAGGAATTCCGCCCACTCACTGGCTGGGTGATTTAGCTAGGAGGGGCCCTGAGACCCGCCCCTCTCCCACATTCTCAGGAAGAAAGGGTTTGGGGATCCAGGAGGATGGGGAAGGAGATGAGGTGAGGGTTATTTGAGGGCAGTGACTGCCAGCTGGGCCCCACCCCCTCTGACCTCAGTTTCCCCTTGAAAGAACCAAGTTGGCCAGGGAGGGCCAGGCCCCCGTCTGACCCGCCTCTGTCCCCCACAGCCCTCAGCGGTGCCTGGGCCGGGCCGGGCTGGCGGAGGCGGCTTCCGGAAATACAGATTCATTTTATTTAAGCGTCCGTGGCACCGACAGGGACCCCAGAGCCCAGAGAGGGGCGGCGAGAGGCCCCAGGTCACACGATGAGGGGGGCTGGGCTGGGCTGGGCTGGGGGCGCCACAGACAAGGGCCCCCCAGCTGAAGGGTCCCTCTTTTGGCAGGTCAGTGACTTCTTGTCTGGTCGCTCACCACTGACCCTGGCTCTTCGCGTGGGAGACCACATGATGTTCGTCCAGCTGCAGTTGGCTGCCCAGCACGCCCCCCTGCAACATAGGCATGTGCTCGCTGCTGCTGCCGCCGCCGCCCGTGGAGACCCCAGCTTAGCTACCCCGGTGTCCTCTTCCTGCCGGCCAGTGTCCAGTGCTGCCCGTGTCCCCCCAGTGCCCACCAGCCCTCCTACATCCCCCTCACCTGTCACAGCTGGCTCCTTCCGATCCCACGCAGCCTCCACCTGCCCTGAGGTGAGAAAGGGGAGGGGTGTCTTTGGAACCTGAAGGGATGGGCTTGGAGACCACAGGGCTCTGCCCCCAGAGGCATCCTGTGGGTCAGCTCTGGCACCTGACCTGGGCCCCGTGCCTGTATGCTTCCTCCTACCAGCAGATGGATTGCTCCCCTGCTGCCAGCAGCAGTGTCAGCCCTGGGGCCAGCACTGCGTCCACCCCAGGGGGCAGCCCTACTCCCCGATCCCGTAAACCCGGCGCCGTCATTGAGAGCTTCGTGAACCATGCCCCAGGGGTCTTCTCAGGGACCTTCTCTGGTAGGTGTCATGTCACACGAGGCTGTGTATGCCCAACTTTACGTACCCGTGCAGTCACATCCACGCCCACCGTGACAGTCACACGGGGCTGAGAGTGCTGCACGCGCCTCCCCCTTCCCCAGGAACCTCCAGGCATACAAGTGCCTGTCCCTGGGCAGGTCAGGTGACCTGACCCCAAGACCCACCTCATGCCTGAACACAGGTGCCTGGGGGCATCCTGCCAGCTCAAAGCCACTTTCCCCTGCAGGCACGCTGCATCCCAACTGCCAGGACAGCAGTGGGCGGCCACGGCGGGACATTGGCACCATCCTGCAGATCCTCAATGACCTCTTGAGCGCCACAAGGCACTACCAGGGCATGCCCCCCTCGCTGACCCAGCTCCGCTGCCACGCCCAGTGCTCGCCTGCCTCGCCAGCCCCTGACCTCGCCCCTAAAACTACCTCCTGCGAGAAGCTGGCGGCAGTGCCCCCGGCCTCCTTGCTGCAGGGTCAGAGCCAGATCCGCATGTGCAAGCCCCCTGGTGAGTGCTGACTCTCAAGGCCCCTCTGTGTGCTGGTGGGCACAGGCAGCAGCTGACCTGCCTGGGGGTCCAAGGGCCAGCAGCTGCCGGACCCCCCAGCTCCGCCCAGCCAGGAGAGAAGGAGCCATGTGTGTGTCGGGGCACAAAGTGTCCTTGTGTGCTCCCAAGGGGGCTCCGGCCCCGCTTCCTCCTCGCCCCCCAGGCACCCGGTCCAGATGGTGTTTGGCGCCTGCATGAATGACTCAGTTCTGGCAGGCGAGGCAGGGCCAAAGGGCCCCCAGCGTTGAGGACTTGGGAAAGCAAGGAGCCCCCCTAATCACCGCCCCCCACCCACTGTTTCCCAGCGGCTGGTTTACTCCCCATCAAAATTCCATGAATCCTGGCTACTGTTCTGCCCATCGGGCATTCTGGCCATCAGTCAGTCTCCACCGCCCTGGGAATAAAAACTGGAAACTGAGGCATGAGCCCAGTGTTTTCCTGGGCCACAGATGCAGCCAGAGGCATTCAAGTTCTAGTTGGGTCACTGAGTGACTCTTACCTGAGTGCAGTGCTCCACCAGGGACATGGTGCAGAGCCCTCCCCATCAGAGCCCTGGCCCCCAGGCCACAGCACACCGGGGGGGCCTGGACCTTAGTAACCACAGGATGCTGACCCTCTGCAGGGGACCGACTCCGGCAGACTGAGAACCGAGCCACGCGCTGCAAGGTGGAGCGGCTGCAGCTCCTGCTGCAGCAGAAGAGGCTGCGCAGGAAGGCCCGGCGGGATGCCCGCGGCCCCTACCACTGGCCACCCACCCGGAAGGCCGGACGCAGTGACAGCAGCAGCAGTGCAGGAGGCGGCAGCACCGGCGAGGCTGCGGGCCTGGGCCTCGACTTTGAGGACTCGGTGTGGAAGCCAGAGGTCAACCCTGACATCCAGTCGGAGTTCGTGGTGGCCTAGGATCTGGCACCCTCGCCCTGTGGCCTTGCCCGGGCAGCCCAGACCCCCAGAGCCACAGCTCAGCTCTGGAGGGCAGGCGGCCACCTCCCCGCCCACCCCCAGCCTCTCTTTTTCACAGCCTCACCCTGATGGCACCTCCTGCTTCTCTTCCATGCCCACCTCTTCCTCCTTCGCCATCCCCAGCCTCTCTGCTGGGTCCTCCCCTCCCACCTTCCCCAGCTCCAAATATGTAGCAGCCTTTCCAGATGGCTGAGAGAGGGAGACGGAAGCCGCCCCCACCCCTTCCGCTCTGCCTTCCTCCCCTCCCACCCTCACCTCCCCCCACCCTATTCAGGTTTAAGTCAAAAAAAGTAGATGCCTCATGATGCACTTTACAGATAGGGGAAGGGCTGTGGAGAGGAGAGTCCATCCCACCCCCACTGCAGACTTTGGCCTCCACCCCGGGCCAGCAGGACCCAGACAGACGGGACCCAGTGTCCCGGGGAGCGAAGCCACAGGGGACTGTCTCTCTTCCACCTCTGCCCTTTTCCTCTTGGTCTTTCTCCATGTGAAGCTGGTTCAGCATGGGTCTGGCCAGGGGCTGCGCTGGGTCTGGGCCGGGCCTCGAGACTCTTTCCTGGCTGGAAAGCAGACAGGGAAGAGCCCACCCGCCCTCTCCAGTGACTGGCCACAGCTGTGCTGTTCTGCCCCACCCCTTTCCCTGACCTCCCTCCTGAGCTTGGGGACTATTTATAGACTATTAATTTTCTGACTGAGCCAATAGTGGTTGGGAGCTTGAAGAACTGGGAGAGAAATGGTGGTGGGTGGGGGGCACCCCCACGCCTTCCTTCCAGCCCAACCTGAGGGATGTGGGACTGTGGACTGCTGGGGCCTCTCCTGCCCAGCATGGGGAGGGGGTGCTGAGCTGTGAATGCCCTGATGGGGGCAAGTGTAGCATTAACCCCCCCTGGGGTCCGCTGCTGGTCTAACTGGGACCCTCCCCACTCAGCGCCCAGGCCCTGCAGGTCTCTGGCCCTAGGGACTGAGGGAGAAACCCCTTGCTGGGGCCATTTCAAAGGGGGTGGATTTTTTGGTTTTCCCACATTTTTTATTTTTTTAGTGACAGGGTGTTTTGGCCCTGCTGCCCCCACCTGTCAGTCTAGTCCTGGCCGCCTGTCCACCCTTGTTCTGTAGGTGAGACCCCAGGTCCTTGTCCCTTCCTGTGTTCAAAGTTAATGGTTTCAGATGTGAACATCACGTGTTAACTGTAGCTGTAAATTTTTTTGTGGGGGGTGGGTGGGTAGGGAGGGGTCCCAGAGGGTAGAGGTCACGGATTTGGTTTGTTTTTATTTTTGTTTTTTCCAAAAAAAGAAAAAAGAAAAAAAGAGGAGAAGGGAGGGGTACATTTTGTTTTTTGAAGAACTGTCTTGGATACCTATTTAAATGTGTGTTCTGTTTTGTTTTTTAACAATTTTTAAATAACGTCTGTGCCTCTGCGGGTCTGAGGGTGGAGGCCCCAGGCAGGAAACGGCCCATAGCCCTGTGCCCTCCCAGGGCCCCCCAAGCAAGCATTACCTGCCCTGGAGATGGGGCTGTGGGGGTGCCGCCCCGCGTGAGTCTCCTGTATGAAACAAATTGAAAAGACCTGCACAAGCACCGGGACTTCAAGTAATAAACAGAAGGAAACAGAGTCTGGTTCTGCCTGTCAGTGGGGGGCGGGGGGGCGCCCTGGCATCCTTCCTGGTTCTCACACCCTCTCCCCAGCTCTGGGGTAGGCAGGAAGCCACTAGGGCAGTGAAGGGAGGAGCCGGCCACTTCCTGGTACCCAGGGCCGGAAGTCCCTCAGGGCGTGGGCATGGACCTGCTTGCCCATTGCTACCTACCCAGTGCAGGGACCCTGCTCCTCTCAGTTCTGCAGTGGGTAATGGGAACAGGACTTGGGAGTCTGTATCTAGGGAGACCTGAGTTTGACCCCAACACTAGTGGCTCCAGCCCTGCCAGAACCTTCTCCTGGAGTCTCACCACTGGTTTGCTGATCATGGAGACTGCCCAGGGATAAGCACCAGTGTGAGCCACTGTTCCCAGGGAGCTAGACTTCCTACAGCCCCAGGCCTCACCTGGGTAACTAGTCAGGTGTGCTGCAGGCCAAGACCCAGCCCAGGATGACCTCTTGGCCCCTATGGCCACACCCTAGTGTTGTATTATCAAACCTCTGGCCCTGGCCTTAACAAAGGCCCTAGCAGGAACACCTCTTTCCTGGCTGCCCCATACTCAGCCTAGGAACTTCCCCAGAATGCCCCTCCCACCCCTCCCTGACCTTCTGTCTTCCCCTCTGCCAGCCTTGGGCTCCCCAAGGACCCAGCTAAGGTTCTCTGGGGTTCCATCTTTATGTCTTTTGGGGCTGGGCAGAGGGAGCAATCATCCCACACCTAATCTTTCACATGCATTTCCTCATTTAAGAAGCACGGCAAGCTGGGAGTTAGAAGTAGTTATACTCCTACTTTATAGAGAAAAGAGGTCCAGAAACAGCACTTGGCCAAGAGGGTGAGAGGAGTTTTTTTTTTTAATTGTGACCCCTTACCCTCCTCCAGGTCCACATGGCCAAGCTTCTGCCCTCCCCAGCCCTGATCCAAGAACCCCCAGGGGGGAGGGGCAGGTCCCTTTTACAGGGTGGCCTAGGACACATCTTCCTGGACCTTTTGCCCTTCCCACCACTCAGTCCCCAGATCATCCCACACCCAGGGCAGGAAGGCAGATGCCCTGTCAGCCCATCCCCAGGCCTCAAGGTCGTGGTGAAAAGTCCTCTTCCCCCCACGCCCAAGTTGGAGGCCACGGGGTGGAGGTGCAAAGGGAAGGCTCAGGAGGAACAGCAGCCCCAGCCCCACGAGTCAGGAGCGTCACCCTGGCCATCACCTGCCGCCCAGGACTGAGAGGATGAGGAAGAAGGATGCCACAATGGGCCTGCTGATTCACAGGAGATGTTTGTACCTACAATCCAGGAACCGCCCCCTAGCATGCTGACTCCTCCAGCCTGAGGCCTCAAGGGAGTCAAGGCCATGCCTTGGGGAGTGGGGGACAGGGCCTGCCTTGGGGGTGGAGGCCCAGGTCTGGCTGTATTCTGGGGCTCTGAGGAATAAACTCCCGGAGGGCGTGAGAGAGATCTCTAGGAGTCCTAGAGAAAAAACCCCAGCCCTCCGTGCACCCTGCACGACCCCAGCGCCTACACACACTTGCCCAGGGAGGTGCTCGGCCCGGTGAAGCAAGTGGTGGCCATGCGTTGAGTTGGAGGAGCGAAGAGGTAAACTGAGGCACAAAACGCGCAGGGGGTTACCAGGCTCGCAGGGGGCGGAGTTGGCCCTGCACCGCTTTCTCCCCCATTGAGGAAAAAACTGAATGGGAGGGGGCGG